ACTACTGCCCCCTGGTGGTCAGTGTGCATCATAGTGACTGGTCAACTGGTCATTCAGTCCTTCGGTCACTTAGGCTTTTATATATATAGATATATTCATCATGTACAAAAACAGTCCCTAATTTTTTTAAGGATAGAGTTTCTTGGGGACAGAGACTAGATCTTAGTCGACTTTTTAGATTTGGTATCTATTATTATTGTGAAACAAGGTAACGTCCCAAGTGTTTTATTAAAACCAATTTATTCTGTTTTTTGATCCTTTCACTTTGCTTGCCAAATAGTAAATAATAATATTTATAATTTACCTTCCTCCTATCAACTATTTCTTCTCTGTTTCCTAATAGGCTGAGTTCAGACAAAAGTGGTAAGACACTTAGATCATAAGGGTCTTTAAATAAAGGATAAACATACTATATAGTCAGTTTTCAGTTTTCAGATGGTATAAGTTCATCATTGCATCTTGGATTACTGACATATTAGTGGATGACCTTGTTAGAAGCCAAGTTTGTCCATCTCTAAAACCTAAGCCCCTCTTACTACTAGGCTTTGTCTTTTGGGGCATGCCCTTAGGATGCTGTATGTGAGATGTGTAGGTCTGTGAAGCCAAGACTAAAACACCTCAGATAAGCAGAAATAGGCAGCCCCCAACATGGTAGAATCAGAGATCAGAGGTGGAGGAGAATTTGTGGTATGAGCTGGCCCCAACCCATACTGTATAGGAGCAGAGCAACCTCATTCTCAGACCAAGGCTCTCTGGTCATGCTTTTAGAATACATTTATGCCTTAAAATAGTGACTCTACTCAAAGTATGCATTTAAAACAGGCTTTAACAGTTCAGTAAGATAAAGCTTTTCTTACATTGATAAATTTTCTTCAGAGACTCTATTCAAAGGACCTCTATTTCTTTACTGTGATAGCCTCCCCAATATTCTCAATTTTCACAAATGGAGTCTCCTTACCTATTAGTCTGAGCCCATAATTTGTAGATCCCTTTTATTTAATATCTTTTAAAATAGTCCCTTTATTTTTACGTCCAAAGGCTTAAAATTTTAACATCAATAGCAACTTGACAAGACTAAAAGCTGAAATCAATTTAATGGATATGTCCTTTGTGTACTTTTCAACAGAAAATTTCAAATTCAAGTTAATAACACACAAATTACACCTATAAGCAATCCAAAGGAAAAGAGACATGACTGTCAAAATTTTAAGCAATAGCTTGCTATAATATACTGAGACACAATAAAAGTGGTTCAATTCAGTATTCCTAGAGAAGTTGACTCATGTCAGACACGGTTAGTGATACATGCAAAGGTTCTTAAGATCAGACATGTTCCAAATCCTGTATGCCCAATTCTGAGGATATTTTCTACAGTGTTTGAAAATTTACCTTCTTTTTAAAAAAATTTTTTTTTATTGATTTCAGAGAAGAAAGGAGAGGGTAGAAACATCAATAATGAGAGAAAGAATCACTGACTGGCTGCCTCCTGTATTTCCCTCACCAGGGATGAGCCCAGAACCTGGGCATGTGCCCTGACTGGGAATTGAACCCCGATCTCCAGGTTCATAGGTCAATGCTCAACCACTGAGCCACACCAGCTGGGCTATCTCCTTTCTTATAAATCTATTTACCAGTATAAATTTTAAAATTTGATTTACTTATAACTACTGTGAGATTATTTCTCATCCTTGTATCCATTATATGCAGTAGATACTTAATAATAAATATCTGTTGAATAAGGCCTTGGATAAGATATGCAAACAGCCTATAGCAGAGAATGTACCTGAAGGATATAGCCTGAAATAAACTAAGGAGAATAATCACTGCCATATATTTTTTTTTAATCTGCAAAATAAATTGAAAAATAATCCTCATAAGTATTTGTGGGATCAATTTCAAAGAATCTTTGGACTGTGAGGCTTGGCTTCTAAGTTTACTGCAGATTTTATGATTCAGCAATTTTGTATACTTAAATATTAAGGCATTAAAAAAAGGGGGAGCCCACACAAGAAATGTAAAATACGTACCTGATAATAAGAAAAGTTGTTTGCCTGTGTGTGTGTATTTTTTAAGCTGTAAATTAGATGCTATTATTTCTACTACTACTTTTAAATTTTTGATGTAAAAGTACTGGACCTAGACAACTGGTATCATCAAGTGACCCTTTTCTCAGAATAACATACAGTTTACAATCTACCTATGAAAACAAAAGTCACAAGTTAACAAAATACGATAACATTTACCTCGCTGGAACTGGTAGTTTGGGGCAAAGAGAAGACGCTTTTGAAGATGTATATTCAGAAGGCTTTAGCTTGTAGTGACATAGTGCTGAGCCTGTTGAAAGAAAGTTAAATGTTAGCAAACAGAGTCTGAATAAGTTCTCTTATTAAGGCACTTTAATTTTATTTTGTATGTGAATTCAACATATATAACTTTCAAACATTATATAATCAAAAAGAATCTGATTTGGTCTATGGTATTGGTCCTCCATCATTTAAAACGTTTCTCCTGCAGTAACTTACATAGAAATTTTAAGTGATAATATTAAGGGTAATAACAAGTACTAGAACTACCTTTATTGAGTGATTGCTGCCTGCT